CCAGTCTATAGTCATCATACCAAATGCTGTGGGATAGATGGTGGTCGCTAGGTGTTGGGAGTTCTATTAGTTTGTTATAATTTTTATTTTTGAACAGCTTCTCAATTCACTGTCTTTAGAAAGACACATTTAATAAACTTTAAGTTAGCCAACGGTTAGCAGGGTTATGGAACAGTGTTCATTGCTAAGAATAGCCATCCAGTAGCACTCTCAAGTTGATTAATTTCATTTGTTTCCCTATTACTTATTTAGGCTCTGGGGCTTGAAATTAGAAACATCAACTCCTAATGTCCCCCTCCCCCCAATACTTCGACCTCATCATATCTATAACCTTTGATCTGTAAATACATTTGTTGTAAGGATGCTCTTGAAGTTGCTAGTTTTTCTGTATTTCAGCTATTTTCAATGTTGATGCATTTTGTGACCTGCCCTTGAGTAATAGGGGTTTCCATTCATTGGAAAGTAAGTAAAGGAAACCCAAAAGAGGCTAACAAAAGTCCCTTCTTAGGACTGTGACTGAAGAGAACTGGGGAATCCCTGTCTTAGAAATGAATCCATTTGAGAAATGGATCCATTTCTCAAAGGCTTTAAAAGGTTGTAATTAGTTGCCACCAAATCACATGGCTGTGGGGTTTCACAGCTTTATTTCTGGTATGCAGTCTATCAGTTAGAGAATAAGTTAGATTAGGGCCAGGCCTATGTGTTTTCATTTGGTTCCTTCCTAAAACCACGTGGACATTGGCTTGAGGTCCATCTCCTGGTCATCAGGCTTAAAGAGTAGTGTTTGCCATGCTGACCTGGACAGGGTTGATGGTGACAGGCTTGTGAGAATGCTGAGAAACATCAAGGACACCTTCCCTTCCCTGTGACAGTAAGTTGGAAAGACAAAGGGATGAATGAACCTGTGGCTATCCTTCCCAGGTGGAAAAACTGATATATAATAGATCCTTGGATTTATGAGCTCAGAAAGTAGGTGGGCATTCTTCAGATTGAGAAAGAGCAGTTTGTGTCATCATGTCCTTTCTCTTGTTCCAGCGTTTATATTCCAGATCTTTAACATGATACCTAGATGCGTTTTCAAGAGATTGTCAAGCATGCACGATTGGGTTTAGGGTTTCTTTCTCTCTCTCTCCCTCTTTTCTCTCTCTCTTCCCCTTTCATTCTCTCCCTCCCTCCCCTATACTTTCTTTTCAGACCTTAACAATTGGGTTTCCCTTCAAAGCCTCACATTTTGAAAACCATTAAAATGAAGTAGTTTGAAAACACAAACAATTAGTTAGGAAGACTCATGTTAGGTGTGGGCTCTTGGAGAGTGACACCTGGCAGGTGTCAGTACAGGTGGCATCCAGAGTCTAGTTATCTGACAGGACTGTTATCTGTTGTAGTTATCCAGCCTTGAAGAGCCTAGAAATACTGTGTTGGGGCAAGAGCTGGAGGTACTTGTGTGATTTGTAGCTTGATCTCATCACTTCTGAAAATATTTCTTTTTAGTTAGTTTCAGAAACTTTCTTTTCTGCTTTTGATTATTCTGATTTGGTAAGTAAGAAAAAAAATACCGCTTATCTCCTAATCACAATTGTTACTAAATGAAGTAAGTGGATAGAAGATGAAGGCTTTTACTTGCTATCATAATTTTGTGGCAGATCTGGGTCGAGGTTAATTCTAAGGGTTGCTGTTCTTCTGACTAATTGAAACAATCTGTGTGATTGTTCAGTTTCTCACCTTTAGTCTCATGACTGGATTCTTAGAGGATTATTACCTTTTGAAAAATAAAAACCAACATTTTTTTGTTGATGAATGAGTAAGTCATTTCCTAGGTCTGGTATTTTCCGTTGCTATCCTTTCTTACTCTTCTTCTACTCTTTTTTTTTTTTTTTGCAAGAGTAGACATCCACAGTCTTATAATACATATCAAGTTTCTGCTTCTTTGATTGTTTGGGCCATGCCAGCAATTTCTGTTTTCTTCTTCTGTCAGCATCTTCAGAAGAAATGTGTACACAAAGGCAAAATGGCTTTCAAAGTAGGCAACATCCTCATTTCAGTGCAGGTGCAGACATCAAATTGAAGGCCATTCTTTCTACCTGCTGCTGGTTCCATCACTAGCCTAGAGATTAACCTCTTCTAAGGCTCTGAGCTCTTTTTGAGGTCAAGACTGCTACAACATTAAAGCTAGAACCCATTAGAAAATCGCTTTCATCATCTCTTCTTTTTCCAAATCAGTGGTTCTTTTTTTTATTATCTGATCTCATAACCCTTTAATCTCCTTTGTAGCGAGAACAAGAAGACTGTTTGTGTTTGTATCCAATGAGGTGAGCATCCTTGATAACAGTTTTAGAAGACACCATAGATTTTAGAGAATGAATCAAGAGATAAATTTTCATCCTCTAGGTGGATGACTTAATACAGAAAGGGACCCTGTGGTTCTCATACACTGCCATAATTTTTGTTGTGGTTATACCATGCTCAAATTTTCCGAAAGACACACAGCAGAAAGCCTTTTGTTGCATTATTTCTAAAGGCTTGAAGTTTTGAAGGGAAGAGATTTTGTTTTCCTCTCTGCCACACAATGGAGCTTTCAGAGAACCTCTTCTAAAAGGAATAGCTACAGCCTTTGTGTCGAAGGGTGTGTCTGTTGGCAGGGTCTGCTGATGCAGACAGACTGGCTGGTGATTAACAAAGGTCATTAGACTTTGGAATCTGGCAAGCCTCATCAGATGGTATGTCTACTGTGAGGGGAAGGACAGCTATGACTCAGGAAGTCAAGACATTCTGGAGGTGCCCCCAAATCACAGCCCCAAATCCTGGTGTTGTACAACAGCGTTAGGTCAGGGTCTACATTGTTTCTGACCCAGTGCTCTGCTGGGAATTAATGAACCACCATATCAATCATGGTATTAAAAGAACCCTTGGAGATCTTGATGAATGACATTTGAGGAGGAGCAAGGTGCTGCTTTTTTGGAAAGAAATGCAAACAGTTAATTCTTTGTTGGGGAGGAGAAGAGCTGAGGAAGAGGCCAGCCTGCCTGGGTAGCATTTACTTCTGATTGTCAGCCAGCCTAGCAGAATTCAAGAGGAAGAAGCCATGTTGTGCACGGAAGAAGAAGCTCTGAGCTAAAATGGCTGCTCCTAAAGCTCAGAGGACTAGGGCAGCTTAGTGAGTCTTAGAGCTTCAGTGACGCAGGAGCTCCTATCTCCTGAAAGTGTGATAAACACATTCAGCAGAGCGGTGGCTTGTTTGGCTGAGATGAAAGGACTAAGCTGGGGGGGGGGGGGAGAGATGGGAAGTACACACTGGATGATCTGCTCTTTTTTTTTTTTTTTCCTGTGAAGTGTTCTAAATGCAGGAGTCGTCTGCACCATGGAAAAATTTGTTTTCAGGTCTAATGGACTGTGCGAAAGGAGAAGTGGGGTGGGGCCTTGGTGACTGCTGTAATTTGATCCAGAGCTGATAGCAACCTCTTCCACACAATTTGGGTTGGTGCTTCGACCTAAAAGCTTGTGGATCTGGAATATTGAGACTTCGTTAGCTGAAAAAGAGAAAAAAAAAAAAAGAGTCTGGTGCACAGTTCAGTGTTTATTGAGAAAAATAAATAAAAGGATAAATTGCTGGATGAAAGAAGAGGAGGTAAATATCTGTGTCTCACTCTGCAAGCTCAGGCTGTTCAGAGGCTGGACGTGCCAGAAGTTATTTTAGCAGGCAACCAGGAGGAGCATTCTTTCATAGAAAATTGTCATGCCCAGGGCTCCTTGCATGACATTGAATGAGTATTACTGGCCTTTGTTCCCCTGCAGAAATCATTTATTTTTCATTTAAAAAAAAGGCACGGAAAATTGTATCATAAAATAGATCTGGCTCCAGCTTTAGTTCTTGGACATCTGGTTCTAGATTATAATGACTCGGTAGAGTTTGTGGTGAACTTAATGAAGTAACTCACTCATTAATGTAATAACTGGGTATCTCAATGTAGGATGTATATTTAGATTGGAAGGATGATACCTTTCTAATATGTATTTTGATTTCTTAATGGTGGGACTCTCCACTGAGTTAGTCTGAATCTTTCTATGTATTTCATTCACAAAGTGAATCACCAAATGAAAGGAGGCTGGGCATACTACGCTTTATTCTGTACCAGATCCCCAGCTTCTTGCATGTATATAATTCCTGTCTATAGCGAAGAAAAGAGGAAAAAGACAATGTTACAACTTAGAGTCACTTCTTCAACACATCCAGCTTTTGTTGTCTTACTGTAAATTGAGTGCCAAGGTGCAATGTTAAACTAGAATCTGGATTGTCATCTAAAGTTGTTTGAAAACCTCATGAGAAATATTTTATGACCTAATTAGATGGAAGAGGCTGTTAGGTTTTAATTGGTAGGTAGTAAATGAGCAAATAATCATTTAGCTGATGTGAAAGAAAAAGGGGACAACTAGATTATTTGGGGAAGGAAAGAGGTGAACCCCAATATCATCAAGACATTAAATTAGTAAAAGTGATAAACTCTTTAATGCCACTCCCAAGATTTGATCCTGTTCTATCACTTGGTGCTAAAATGCCAATATAATAGTAATATTAAACTGACTAATCAAGAGTGAGATTTGCCTTTTCCCCCCCTGAATCGAGGTCATCTTTCCTTCTAGTCCAAAAGAAAACGAATCCAAGGCAGCACTAAAGTCAATATTAAGTTACCAAGAAATTTGAATTTAGTGGAGAAGCTCAGAAACTGTTAAAACTTTTGAAGTATTAAGGTTTCTTGGACAAATGACATTTGAAGATATATCAAGCCAGAAAACATTTATCTGGATTTTCTTTCCTTCTTTGAAGTGATGAAGTCAAGGACATCTTCTCTATTATGTCTGCTTGCGTTTCTTTGGCCAATGCTCCAGTTGGCAAAGCCATGTACTGATAACTGGAGTTTTTTCCATTAGTCCCTGGGTGGCCCCCTCAGCTTGAGTTATGTGCTGAGCACATTCTTTACGCTTTGCTCTGACTTGTGCCTCAGGTTCCTAATGTGAGAGGGTAGCCCCAGATCATGGAGGTCCTTCAGTGTGATGGCTGTGACTTCAGAGCCCCATCTTACGAAGATCTCAAGGCACACATCCAGGATGTCCACACCGCATTCCTGCAGCCCACTGATGTCGCGGAGGACAATGAAAATGAGCCCCGATCCGGGTCCATGAATGCTGGGAATCAGACAGAAGTGGAATTTTCTTCAGTAAAGGATGAATTTGCCATTGCAGAGGATTTATCAGGTAAACCTGTACTACTAACTTATATATTTTTATTGCACTCGTTTTCTTTTCTTAGCCTGTAGCCATGGTTCATAGTATGTGTGGCTTTGACATTTCTTGTTCTTTGCAAGTCATTGGACATTGCTTTTTCTCCACTTAAGTATCCATATCCTAAATTATTCTCCTTCCAGCTTCTGTATATCTCCTGCTTTTAACTGTTTCTCTTCTTAGGGGATTGAAGGCAGGCTTGTGCTTGCTAGGCAAGAACTCTACTACTTGAACTATACTCCTACTTTTAATTTTGAAAACAAAGTTTCTCTTGGAAAGTTGTAAATATTACAGTTTATAAAAGTTGTCTTCTGATAGCTGTGTTACTCATTCATGGAAATGAGGAAAGTATTTTGTATCTAAAGTTAAGTACTTTATTTTTCATCTGTCACAAGATATAATACATGTATGTTCATCAATGCTCTGTGAATACTCTTGAATAATTGAAATGGTACTGATTTGCCTGATGGGTTTTTTTTTTTTTTTGAGGTGGGGGAGAGGGAGGAGGATAGTGGGACTCAGGCCCTTGAGCTTGGTAGGCAGGCATTCTGCCACTTGAGCCACCTCTCTAGCCCCTTTTTGAATTGATTACTCTTGAGGTAAAGTTTCATTTGATTCCCCGGGCTGGCCTAGGCTGGAATCCTACTGCTAATGCTTCTCCATGTTGCTGGGCTGGCCGGCATATGTTACCAGCCATTGTGTTTCCCCTATAGTTGGAATGACAGGTATGCATCACCACATCTATCCACTGGTTGAAGATGAGTCTCGTGTTTGCCCTTATATGGGCTGACCTCACATTTGTATCCCATGATCTCCACTTCCCAAGCAGCTGTGGTTATAGACTTGAGCCACCACACCCAGCCTAAACTTCTTAATTCCCTTTTGCTTTACTTTTCTCATCATTTTTTTTTTAATACATTGTCTTTAGGTCAAAATGCAACTGCATTGGGGACCGGAAGTTACTATGGCCACAGTCCAGGATATTATGGTCAGCATATTTCCCCTAATCCCAAACCAACAAACAAGTTTTTTCAATGCAAGTTCTGCGTACGCTACTTCAGGTCAAAAAATCTCCTCATAGAACACACTAGGAAGGTCCATGGAGCTCAAGCTGAAGGGAGTTCGGCTGGACCACCTGTCCCCGGATCCTTAAATTATAATATTATGATGCACGAGGGATTTGGAAAGGTCTTCTCTTGCCAGTTTTGCACATACAAGTCGCCAAGGAGGGCAAGAATCTTGAAGCATCAGAAGATGTATCACAAAAACAGTCTAAAGGAGACCACCGCTCCTCCACCTGATCCTGATCCCCTGCCAGATCCTGTGGTCCCGCCTCTGTCCCTGCAGGACCCCTGCAAGGAACTCCCAGCGGAGGTTGTAGAGCGTAGCATCTTAGAATCCATGGTCAAACCTTTGACGAAGTCTCGAGGCAACTTCTGCTGTGAGTGGTGCAGCTACCAGACGCCCCGGCGAGAACGCTGGTGTGACCACATGATGAAGAAACACCGTAGTATGGTCAAAATCCTTTCCAGTCTGAGGCAGCAGCAGGAAGGGACTAATCTACCTGATGTGCAGAAGAATCCTCCAAGCCCCACATCCAACTCCAGCTACCTATCCATGAATGCTGCAAGCCGGGAGATACCCAGCACTAACGTATCTAACTACAGGGGCTCCATCGGCAACTCCATCATGAGACCCAATTCTTCCACTTCCAAGTATTCGCCCATGTCTTACCCTCAGATGAAGCCGAAGTCACCTCATAATTCTGGTCTCATTAACTTAGCAGAGAGATCGCGGTATGGAATGACTGACATGACCAATTCTTCTACTGACCTGGAAACTAACAGCATCCTAAATGACTCTAGTTCTGATGAAGAATTAAATGAAATAGACAGTGAGAACGGTTTGAGTGTGATGGATCACCAGACATCAGGCCTGTCGGCTGAGCAGCTGATGAGCTCAGATGGCAACAAATTATTGGAGACCAAGGGGATTCCATTTAGAAGGTTCATGAATAGATTCCAGTGCCCCTTTTGTCCTTTCCTGACCATGCACCGGCGTAGCATCTCCCGCCACATAGAAAACATCCACTTGTCTGGGAAGACCGCTGTCTACAAATGTGACGAGTGTCCGTTTACTTGCAAGAGTTCATTAAAACTTGGGGCTCATAAACAGTGTCACACGGGTACAACGTCAGATTGGGATGCTGTGAATTCCCAGAGTGAATGCATTTCTTCCTCACTGAACGAAGGCGTGGTGTCTTTCGAGAGCTCGAGCATCAATGGTAGAAAGTCAGGGGTCCTGTTGGACCCTTTGCAGCAACAGCAGCCGCCACAGCCACCACCACCACTACCACCACCACCACCACCACCATCACAGCCACTACAACAGTCACAACCACCACAGCTACAGCCACCACATCAGATGCCCCCTCAGCCACAGCCGCCACCTACCCAGCAGCCACAGCCCCCCACGCCAGCCCCACCTCTGCACCCTTATAAGTGTACCATGTGTAGTTACTCCACCACCACTCTGAAAGGGCTAAGAGTCCATCAGCAGCACAAGCATTCATTCTGTGACAACTTGCCAAAATTCGAGGGGCAGCCCTCAAGCCTACCACTGGAAAACGAGACAGACAGCCTCCCCTCTTCCAGCAACACTGTGAAGAAAAGTCAGACCTCAATTCTTGGGTTGTCCTCCAAGAACAATTTTGTAGCTAAAGCCTCTAGGAAGCTCGCTAATGACTTCCCTCTTGATTTATCCCCTGTGAAGAAGAGAACTAGAATTGACGAGATAGCAAGCAACCTGCAGAGCAAGATCAACCAAACCAAACAGCAAGAAGATGCGGTGATCAACGTTGAGGATGACGAGGAGGAAGAGGAAGACAATGAAGTGGAGATAGAGGTCGAGCTGGACAGGGAAGAAGAGCCCACAGAAGCCATCCTGGAGATCCCCACTGCTTTTTCAGCCCAACAGATTTGGGCCAGAGATACCACTGAGCCCCAGAAAGAGCCCAACTTCCGAACTATCGCCCACGATTACAATGCCACCAATGGGGCTGAGATTGAGCTGACCCTTTCTGAAGATGAAGAAGATTACTACGGTTCCTCAACAAACATGAAAGACCATCAAGTCTCCAATACTGCTTTGCTAAGTACCCCAACTCCTATCTATGGAACTGAGCACAGTAATGAAAATACAGACTTTGGTGACTCTGGAAGACTGTACTATTGTAAACACTGTGATTTTAACAACAAATCTGCCCGGAGTGTTAGCACCCACTACCAGCGAATGCACCCATACATTAAATTCAGCTTTAGGTACATCTTGGACCCAAATGATCACAGTGCTGTGTACAGGTGCCTGGAATGCTACATCGATTACACCAACTTTGAAGATCTCCAGCAGCATTATGGGGAACACCACCCCGAAGCCATGAATGTACTCAACTTTGATCATTCGGATCTGATCTACCGGTGTCGGTTTTGTTCCTACACGAGCCCGAATGTTAGAAGCCTGATGCCGCATTACCAAAGAATGCATCCCACAGTGAAGATCAACAATGCCATGATATTTTCTAGCTACGTGGTGGAGCAGCAGGAAGGGCTGAACACAGAATCTCAGACCTTGAGGGAGATTCTGAATTCGGCTCCCAAGAACATGGCGACGTCCACTCCTGTGGCTCGTGGTGGTGGTGGTGGTTTGCCCTCTCCGTTTAGTAAAAACACACCTTCAAAGACTTTTACTCCAGAATGTGAAAACCAGAAGGACCCTGCGGTCAACACCGTTGTCGTGTATGATTGTGATGTGTGCTCATTTGCCAGTCCCAACATGCATTCTGTCTTGGTTCATTATCAGAAGAAACACCCTGAAGAAAAGGCCTCCTACTTTAGGATCCAGAAAACCATGCGCATGGTGTCTGTGGACAGGGGCTCTGCCCTTTCCCAATTATCATTTGAGGTGGGTGCTCCAATGTCTCCCAAAATGTCCAACATGGGTTCCCCACCCCCCCCACAGCCCCCACCACCAGACCTCAGTATTGAGCTTTACTACTGCAAACACTGTTCCTACAGCAATCGGTCAGTTGTGGGAGTGCTTGTTCACTACCAGAAAAGACACCCAGAAATAAAGGTCACTGCCAAATATATCAGACAGGCTCCTCCCACAGCTGCAATGATGAGAGGGGTCGAAGGGCCCCAAGACTCCCTTCGGCCTCCTGTCTCCATGCAGCCGCTGAACCGGAGCAGTGCGGAGAGAGATGGCCCTCCTGTGGAGAATGAGATGTTCTTTTGCCAGCATTGTGATTACGGGAACCGGACGGTCAAAGGTGTCCTCATTCATTATCAGAAGAAGCACCGAGACTTCAAGGCCAACGCAGATGTGATCCGCCAGCACACAGCCACCATCCGAAGCCTCTGTGACCGGAACCAGAAGAACTCGGCCAGTTGTGTGCTGCTTTCCCCTTCTGGTATAGAGCGAGATAAGACGAAGCTCCGAGCACTCAAGTGTAGGCAGTGTTCTTATACCTCCCCCTATTTCTATGCACTGAGGAAGCATATCAAGAAAGACCACCCTGCCCTGAAGGCCACGGTCACGTCCATCATGCGATGGGCGTTTCTAGATGGCTTGATAGAAGCTGGCTACCACTGCGAGTGGTGCATTTACTCCCACACGGAGCCCAATGGGCTGCTCCTGCACTACCAAAGGAGGCATCCAGAGCATTATGTAGATTATACTTATATGGCGACCAAACTCTGGGCTGGGCCAGACCCATCGTCTCCCTCTCTCGCCATGCCAGCTGAAGCCAAAACGTACAGATGTAGGGACTGTGTTTTTGAAGCTGTCTCTATCTGGGACATCACCAATCATTATCAAGCCTTCCACCCCTGGTCCATGAATGGTGATGAGTCCGTGCTGCTGGATATTATCAAGGAGAAAGATGTGGTTGAGAAACCCATCCTTCCGTCCGAAGACTTGATAGGTCCTGTGAATTGTGAAAACAGTCTCCCCACCCCACTCCCCGAGCAGGAAGCTGAATGCCCAGAGGATGCAAGACTTTCCCCAGAGAAAACCTTGCATCTGGCTTCAGCGAACCCTGCCATCTCCTCTACCCCGTACCAGTGCACGGTGTGCCAGTCCGAGTATAACAACCTGCACGGGCTCCTCACGCATTATGGGAAGAAGCACCCTGGCATGAAAGTGAAGGCTGCCGACTTTGCCCAGGACATCGACATCAACCCCGGTGCGGTCTACAAATGCAGGCATTGTCCATACATCAACACCCGCATCCACGGCGTGCTGACCCATTATCAGAAGCGACACCCGGCCATCAAGGTGACCGCTGAGGACTTTGTGCACGACGTGGAGCAGTCGACTGACCTGTCCCAGAATGACGTGGAAGAGACGAGCAGGATTTTCAAACAGGGGTACGGCGCCTACCGGTGTAAGCTGTGCCCCTACACGCATGGCACCTTGGAGAAACTCAAGATCCATTACGAGAAGTACCACAACCAGCCAGAATTTGATGTCTTTTCCCCATCGCCCCCAAAGCTGCCAGTTTCCCTTGAGCCAGAGATAACCACTGAAGTGAGCCCCTCCCAAATCTCCATCACCGAGGAGGAGGTGGGAGAAGAGTCCATGTCCACTTCTCACTTCTCTACCTCGCACCTGGTCTCCCACACTGTGTTCCGGTGCCAGCTCTGCAAGTACTTCTGCTCCACCAGGAAGGGTATCGCCAGGCATTACCGGATCAAGCACAACAATGTCCGTGCCCAGCCAGAGGGCAAGAACAACCTCTTCAAGTGTGCCCTGTGTGCCTACACCAACCCCATCCGTAAAGGGCTGGCTGCCCACTACCAGAAGCGCCACGACATCGATGCCTACTACACCCACTGCCTGGCAGCCTCCCGGACCATCAGTGACAAGCCCAACAAGGTGATCATCCCATCGCCACCCAAAGATGACTCCCCACAGCTGAGCGAGGAACTCCGGCGGGCAGTGGAGAAGAAAAAGTGCTCCTTGTGTTCCTTCCAGTCGTTCAGCAAGAAGGGTATCGTGTCCCATTACATGAAGCGTCATCCAGGAGTGTTCCCAAAGAAGCAGCATGCCAGCAAGTTGGGAGGCTACTTCACAGCTGTGTATGCGGACGAACACGAGAAGCCCCCGCTGATGGAAGAGGAGGAGAGAGGCAGCTTTGAGAAAGCCGAGGTGGAGGGCGAAGCTCAGGAAATCGAGTGGCTCCCGTTTCGCTGTATCAAATGCTTCAAGCTGTCCTTCAGCACGGCCGAGCTGCTGTGCATGCATTACACCGATCACCACAGCCGGGACCTGAAGAGGGACTTCGTCATTCTAAGCAATGCCCCCCGCCTGCAGAACGCTACCTACCAGTGTAAGCACTGTGATAGCAAATTGCAAAGCATAGCAGAGCTGACCTCACATTTGAACATTCACAATGAGGAATTCCAGAAGCGTGCCAAACGCCAGGAGAGGAGGAAACAGCTTTTGAGCAAGCAGAAATATGCAGATGGTGCTTTTGCAGATTTCAAACAAGAGAGGGTAAGGATATGTTTTGATTTCCCTTCCCCCAGGAGGCCTCTCATCACTGGTGCCCACATGCACGTCTCCGTTGCCAGCCAAACTGCTGCAGGCTTTGCTTGCCAGAGAGCTCAATAAGTCAATTAAACATTTCGAGCTTGATTATCTCCCCATTCTATGCTCACCCCTCTTCAAGGTTCTGTTTCCCTCCTTCTCTCCCTCTGACTCCTCCAATGGCTCCCCAGGGGAGGTTCAGGGTGGTTTCTATGTTATGTCTCTCTGCCAAGTAGCCCAGTCTGAAGTCTAGTTATACAGCAACGTTGTTCGCTCTCTTCTAAGGCAGTTGTGGGGCTGTCTCTTGGTATCCTTTAATACTTCTCAGCCATGTCCTGGTCTTCAGTGCTTGCTTCAGGAACCTAACACCTCATGGAGTAGATGGTTATTTTAACCAAGAAGTTCATTCATGGCGCAGTCAGCTAATGCAACGTGTCACCCGCGTAGTTGAAAACTGGTTGGAAAAACCAGATAACCTTAGTTGGCAGTGACGATGAGCTTCTGCACAGAGATCTTCTCTCCTCACAAGCCGTAACATATTTGGGTTCCAGAGACCGGTGTCTGGTAGGCAGTGTGCCATGACTGATGAAGTTTGGTAATAGGAAAAAAAAAATACACACCTGTATCTCCCTTGGTGTTTCACCTGCTAATCTGCTTTAAAAACCACATATACCAGTAAAGAATATATGCCTGCCATTGCGGGAGGGCTTGGAGTATTGATGGCTACCACTGTATTTTACCAGCCTTTTGGTCATTTAGAAGAGGTGCCAAAGATCAAGGAGAGGAAAGTGGTGGGCTACAAGTGTAAATTCTGTGTGGAAGTGCACCCAACGCTCCGAGCCATCTGCAATCACCTACGGAAGCACGTCCAGTATGGCAGCGTCCCGGCCGTGAAGGTGAGATGGGGAAGGTCCAGATGCACCTTGTCCTGTGTGTGAGTGACTCCAGTTACTTATTAACCCATGGCTTAAAGAAGCTCAGGAGACAGCATCCTGGGATGTGGACATCCCTGAATTATGCTTGGATTGCTTTGGTTTGTTTTGATTTCTTTGCAGGTCGGACCTTCTTCGTCATGGTGTTCCAGAAAAGCTTGGGTTTTGATCTGGCTTTCTTCCGAGGAGCTAGTTGGGCGAACTGAGTTGTTGGATTCTAGGGTGGAAGAGGCTTGGTGATGTCCTCGTATTCTGTGCTGAGTGCCTTTAGATCTTTCCTCTCCCAAGTTGCCAGAGCTCTTGAGCGGAGCCCGGTGGACTCTGTTCCCATCATTCCCCCCCCCCCACTTGCCCGCCTCTTACTTGTCAATTTCTGGCTGAGGACACAGAGCTCTAGAGACTCTGCTTTCTGCTTTCCATTCTGGGTCTGCTGGGGAGTACAAGGGATAGTAATTAAATCTCAATGGAAAAGGCTTCGAGTCACACTTGACCTTGGGAGCCCTTTGACCTGGTTTGTCTGCTCTACTCTCTCTTCCTATTGAATGCTGCCCAGTATCTTCCCTCGCCATCCCCACCTGGATGAAGCAGCGTATTTTGAACATCATCATCTAAATAGGAATGACTTTCTATGCCCGAGTCTACCTCCCAGAATATTGCTAAGCACCTAACCATTTCTGATCACAGAAGTGAATTCTGTGGGAGGAAGAGTGTACTAGCTTGGGATTCACAGACATTGTTTCATGTCCCAGACAAGAACAACCTGTGGACCAGCTATGTTGCCCTTTTTGTCTGGATACTTGAATCTTTTGTCTTCCTTCCTTCCTTCCTTCCTTCCTTCCTTCCTTCCTTCCTTCCTTCCTTCCTTCCTTCCTTCCTTCCTTCCTTCCTTTTCCCATTTGCCCATTTGCCCTCTTGATATTACCTTATGATATCAAGTTTGGCTAATTTTGTCTCGAAGTAAAACCTCTCCTTCTTTGAACACTGAAGCTTCCGTCTTTGTGCAGAACCATGACAGCCCAGGGACAGTAGCAGCGAGTAGCTTCTTCTGCAAGCCACTGCTGTGTGTTGCGGGCTTGATTCCTGAAATCCAGTAATCAAAGGAGTGAAATCCATAAATGTCTGCTCCTTCATTTTTTGCTCCTTAGTTATTTGGCAGCAGCCTTAAGAGGTGAATGCCACATCTCCAGAGCCGCAAGTAGACAGTACTCTGTTTCCAAATGATGGCTCAAGGCTATTTGATGGCCACTTTACCCTACCTTTTTACTTTCTATCTTTTCCTTCTCCCTTGTCCCCTCCCTGCTTCTTCCCCTACCCCCACTTTTCCTTCTTCTCTCTCTGCTCTGAGCCATAACCCTAACATATCTTTATTTTAGTTTAGATAAAATCACCATTGGAATTTTCTTTTTTAAGATGAGGAATCAGCGAACTGGCTTCAGGCTTGGAGAGTCTCCATCACATTTCCCAGGCAATAGCAACCTAGGACCAGATTATGTTGCCCTAAATCCCCACCGTAGCATGAAAAATGACAGTCAGGCTTGCCCTCCCTCTAGGGGGAGCTGGAGAGGCAGGGGAGGACGCGTCACAGAAAATGCTGATGCTCTTGGGAGAAGGAAGGGAGAAGATGAACGCTGTGATGATGGATATTTATTTTGTTGGTGGGGCATGTGTGTGTGTGTGGTTCTCTTAGCAGGAGGCTGAAGACCCTTCCCATTTGTTCCTGGATGGATTGGAAGCAGCCAAAGATGCCAGTGGCGCCCTGGTGGGCCGGGTGGATGGTGGACACTGCTTGCTTGATGGAATGTTGGAGGATGAAACCCGGCCGGGGGGATACCATTGCAGTCAATGTGACAGAGTCCTGATGTCCATGCAGGGGCTGCGTTCTCATGAGAGGAGCCATCTGGCCCTGGCCATGTTTACCCGAGAGGACAAGTACAGCTGCCAGTATTGTTCCTTTGTTTCTGCTTTCAGGCACAAGTAAGTGTTACCAGGGGTAACGGGGAATAGGCGGGGTTGTCCCTGGGAACTACTGAGAGATGTCTTAGTAGTTAAGAGATAGAAGGAGAATCTTAGGTGAGGAAGAAGAGCTCCATTCATGGTTCATTCTTGCTGCTATATCATCTTGAGCCTAAGCCATATTATCTGTAAGATCGGCCTAAGTAGTGATCGGCAAATGTGGGCATTTCAAAAAGGGGAATTGAAAGATGGCTCTGATGTGCCAAAGAGAAGATGCAGATACTAAGAACAAATGAATTTGAGGTAGATCTTCCAGACTTTCATCCCAAACTTAACCATCATTCAAAGCAATAAAGTTCCATTTCAATATAATGACTGCATCGCAGTGTATGATACATAAAAATTGAACTTGGTAACTTGAGGATTGGGATGGGAGGGGGAAAGGTGGGAGAGAACAATGAAAATGCAAAATTGATCAAAAATCATTGCTCATATTTAATATTTATACAACAAAACAAGTTCCATTTGAAAAATGAGTTCTTAACAAAATTCAGACTGTTTATGTGACTAAAGAGTTATTGCTTGAGTTTTTTTTTCTTTAAGTATCTTTAAAAGGTAAAAAAGAAAAAAGAAGAAAGTTATAGATGATAAAGAGTTGTTAGAGATCCAGGGGGGTTGAGAAGTATGAATTTCCCATTACTCCCCACAGTATTAAAATCATAAATTTAGGTCTGGGAAGGTGGCTCAGTGGTAGAGTGCTTGCCTGTATGCTTGAGGCCCTGGGTTTGATTCCTCAGCACCACATAAGCAAAAAGAAAAAAGCCGGAAGTGGCGCTGTGGCTCAAGTGGTAGAGTGCTAGCCTTGAGCTGAAGAGCTGAGGGACAGCGCCCAGGCCCAGAGTTCAGGCCCCACGACCAGACACCCCCCCCAAAAAAGCATAAATTTAGGGTAGATATGAAAGGCCATAAGGGGTGATGAGAAGAGAAGAGGATCCTAAGAAGACACAACTTTTCATTGTATAAAAGAGATTAATATCAATAATGTATTCCACAGTCTTTGAAGGAGTTGATTATAATACCAGCTTGCAGTCCATTTCCATGATAAATGAAAATAATTGATAGGCTATTTGCTACTTAAAAAGAAAAGATGCTGATGGGTGCCAGTGGTTCCTGCCTGTAATCCTAGATAGTCAAGAGGCTGAGATCTGAGGATCGCCGTTCAAAGCTAGTTGAGGCAAGAAAGTCTGTAAGACTTTTTTTTTTTTGTCAGTCATGGGGCTTGAACTCTGGGCCTGGGCGCTGTCCCTCAGCTCTTCAGCTCAAGGCGAGCGCTCTACCACTTGAGCTATAGCACCACTTCCGGTTTTCTGGTGGTCTCTCCTGCCCGGGCTGGCTTTGAACCACGATCCTCAGATCTCAGCCTCCTGAGTAGCTAGGATTACAGGCATGAGCCACCAGCGCCCGGCTTCTGCGAGACTCTTAACTCCAATAAACCACCAGAAAATCGGAAGTGGCTCTGATGCTCAAGTGGTAGAGTACTTACCTTGAGCTGAAGAGCTGAGGGACAGTGCCCAGGCCCAGAGTTCAAGCCCCATGACTGACAAAGAAAAAAGAAAAGAAAAGGTGCCAGTTGGAGTTATTGCAAAGCAGGAAGAAGCAGTAATGAATAAGTCCCAAACTTTTTATTATCACACACACCCTCAGACCCAATCTTTGTCATCATATCCATACACTGGTATAAAACTTGTCTCATTCTCTTCAACTCATTATTTATTAAACAGCACCTATCACACTGTCTGAATAAAGAAGGGACCCTGTACTTGGCACTGTGCCTTGGGAGAATGTCAAAATAAATAGTACATAATCCGTGTCCTGAACCCTAGCTTCAGGACACAGGGTTGAGTTATAAAGCAAACAGAGGACTTGCTAAAATAAGGCTTATCTCTTTAAAACAAAAAAAAAGGATACCAGTATAATTCTGTAGAATTCAAAGAAAGGAAAGAAGAGTCTTATAGAGTATGGAACACATTAGAATTAACTGAAGGAGAAAGAATAGAAGGGGGAGGTGAGGTATGGGGGGAAAAATGCCATGAGAGGGGCTGGGAATGTGGCTTAGTGGTAGAGTGCTTGCCTAGCATGCATGAAGCCCTGGGTTCGATTCTTCAGTACTACATACTCAGGGGAAAAAAAGTGAATAAATGAAAGAAATACAATTAAAAGAGAAAAAAATTATTAAAAAAAAAAAACACAAGAGGATCCAAGGTGCGGAAATAAGTCTCCTTGGGACTAACTGGAGGTTCATTTGTTTGGTCTTGAAGTTATATGTAAAGGAACTGAAGAAGATAAAGTCCTTAGTAAAGTAAAGATACTTTAGTAGAGACCATGTTTAGAGTCTTTAAATGCCAGGAATTAAGAGTCTTCATTATATAACTTGTCATATGTAGAGTTTGGTGATAATCGCTCACATTAATTGCATCTCCTTATATGCCAAGGCACTATATTAAGTGTCTTTACATATTCTCCTTTACATTCTTAAAACAGCCCTGTTTTCATTATTAGCCCCGTTTTATAGATTAGGAGATCAAAGCCTAGAGAGATTAAGTAACTTGCCAAAGGCCACACAGTCATAGCTATGATTTTTATCTCAGGAGGTCTGACTCTATAGTTCCCCCGCTTGAGTTAGAAAACAACAACATAGGAGCAATAACTTGGAAGAAGTAACAGTAGGATTCAAGAAGTTAGGGAATAACTGCAAGAATGGGTCTGTGTGACTTCGAAAAAGTATATGGGATGAGAGCCAAAGGAAAGTGTTGACTGGAAGGGTAGATGTGCCATTTATAGAAACGAGGAAATGAAGAAGAAAATTGGTTATGTAGAAAATCCCTGATGGGCTTGTGTAACACACACAGGTCGAGTAGCTACAGAACATCCAGAGGGAGATGTCCAGAGGCCAGGGAGAATGTTGTCTTGGAGCTCAGAGGAGCATTACACATTAAGTGGTCAGCAACAGTATTCCCATGAGTCCTTTCGAATGGAGTATAGATCTCCGGGGGTCCATACAAATGACAACTTCCCATACCTTGTTTGGTAGATTTATTATTTTTGTGACTAGTGCTTACTATGAAGTCCTAGAGGTTTATTTTAATTAATTCCTCATGAATTGCTCTGGAAGACTGATATTCAACAAACATGGTTGTGTTTATCAGGAAGCATGACCATCCCTTTGATCATTGGACATGTTTACTGTTGTCCTGTAGCCATGTTAATGTAGATGGTGAAAGTAAAACAGCCCACCATTTAAAATGCAAACCCAGTCAAGTACAGTGGCTCAAGCTTGTAATCTTAGCTACTTAGGAAGCAGAATTCATAGGACTATGCTTCGAGAGTGGATACCATCTCAACCAATGATATAGCACAGTAGCCCAAACCTGTTTTTCCAGCCTTTGGGGAGAAAGGATGGCTGAATGTGGTGGTGCTTGCCTGTTATCCCTGATGGTATGAGGAAGCACAAATAGGAAGATCAAATCCAAGGCTTACTCAGACATAAACTGATACCCTGCTTTAAATAACCAGTGCAGAAGGAGGTGTGGCTCAAATGGTAGAGCACTTGCCTAGCTAGTACAAAGCCCAGAGTTCAATCCTTAGTCATCCTCTCCCGCCCCCACCCCCCAAAAAAAAATTCACTGCCTGGGCAGAAAACACCTTTTCCTTTTGAATAATAACTTCCAAATCTGTCTCCTCAGTAGAAGAGAATATAACGAACTGCCATGCTATAACTTGCCCTACATCTCAATCCAAGAAGGTGTCTTAGCATCTTCCTTTAGCTTCTCCCTGCATGTCCCCACCCCTTAGAATTAACTCTTGCCTAGTTGTAATGATGTGAGCACCATCAGCAGAAGAACAGCTTGCTAGTGGATTCCCGGAAAGTGATGATGAGAAGATACTGTATGCCCTTTTAAATCTTGCCCTTTTTCCTTTCTTCCCTTCTACATCAAGTTTGGATCGCCATATGCAGACCCACCACGGACACCATAAACCATTCCGCTGCAAACTCTGCTCCTTCAAGTCCTCCTACAACAGCCGGCTGAAAACGCACATACTCAAAGCTCATGCTGGTGAGTTCATATGGGTGGATCACTTGAGTGTGCGCACGAGATTTGAAAAGTCTTTTGTTGCACACATGAGCGTAAGTTATTCTTTGAAGTAGTTGCAGGTTCTGCTTTACTTTTATCTAATAAAGAAAACTAGAAAAAACAAAGCTTATTTGAAGCCAAAATAATCAACTCTTCCTTCAGGTAAGAATTAGTCTTTTTTTTTTTTTTTTGTAGTTGTTGTCAGTTGGTTGGTTGATTGGTTTTTGTTTATTGGTTTGCTTTTTTGTTTTTGTTTTTTGTTTTTGCAGGTCCTGGGTCTTGAACTTAGGACTTGGGTGCTGCCACTGAGCTTTTGTGATCAAGACTAGCACTCTACTATTTGAGCTGCAGCTCTACTTCTTTTGAGTGATTAGCTGGAGATAAGAGTCTCATGGACTTTCTTGCCTGGGCTGGCTTTGATCCAAGATTCTCAGATCTCAGCCTTTTGAATATGTGGGAGTACAGGCGTGTGCCACCAGTGCTCAGCTTGGTAGTTTTTAACTTTGGAATAACCTAGTCTTGCTAATGGAATTGCATAGAATTTTTATGCACACTAAAGATAAATTTACCACATTATGAGATGCCCTTTGATTAGTCATTTCCTTTTGCTTGAGTCAGGACTGACCAGGAGCTGTGCTGGTTTCTGTCACTCCATTGTCCATCCCTGGACATTCCTTACTTACTAGGCCGTGTACCACCATGTTAGAGATACCCTATTTAGTTCTCATGATATTCCTAAGTCTCCTTCAGGGTCACTTTTTACTGAACCTGTGTAACACTTTACAACACTTTTAATGATGGAAAACAACTATCTAGAACCTGGGTCCTTCACTGTCTCCTCAGCGTTGGGCCTTTGAAACTAGCTTATTTTAGAGAAACTACACGTTTTGTCTAGGTGTCCCAAGCCTTCCTGGGGACACCAGGTGGAACGGGGAGATTAATTAATGGGCTTGTCTATCTGTTAGTCATATTATGTTTTCAGGAAATGTCTCCTAACATCCACAGAGTAAGGGGCTTAAGAGTTCAACTCACTCTTTTCTGATGTCAGGGTATTGTAAATTATCCAGTGGAGACAATCTTGGTGAGTTTTTCCTACAGGTCTCAGCCTTGTTAAAAGCCTTCTGCCAGCTGGGAGCTGGGGGAATGATTCAGCTCATGGGAAGGACTTTGAAGAGGCTGCTCATGGGCTCCAGGGCACACACTGAAATGTATGTTCTTGGAGCTGACCGAGTGAACTGGCCTCCCTGTGCTCATTGCTTGTCAAGAAGGAAGCATCCAGAAAGAGAGAAGGAGAGCTGTGTAATTCTGCTCTTATCACACCTTAGATGCTTAGGCTCTATGAAGAGGCTCTGAGCCACTGAGAGAAGGTTGGCTGAGGAAAGCTAATGCATTTTCTAAAAGTCTCTGAACTTATTTTGCGTGTTCTAAGTGGATTACTTTATTGAGGAGTAAGCAGTAGTGTGGACCAAACAAGTAATCCAGAATTGAATTCTCTCTCAAATTGTGGGACTTTATAGCCACCCAGCAAAGTTCCTGCAATTAAATATTTTCTTTCCTAAGACCTCTGACCTCTTTGTACTTTTTTTCTGTGCTGCATAATGTTGAGGAATTTGAGGGTTTTTACAAATCTGTAGTCTCAGTGTAATAATAATTATTTTCAAAATACGTGTTTATTACAGAAAATTTAAAATAAAAGAAATATATGTCATCCAGAACCTTATTATCTAAAGAGCACTGTTAACATTTGGTGTTTCTTTTTGGCCATTTTGATGTTAATTATTTTGAAGAGTTGTGATTATAGTGTCATCTAAAATATGCTTTGCCTTTCTATGTATTCTCTATTATTATTGTCTGTGTTATTACAAATTTTTCCAGAATTTATTTTACTGATAGTTCACCAGGAGGATATGTTCACATTATTTCTTTGTGCTTGAAATTTTGCTTAATACCTTTATCAAAGCATAAATGATGACATTTATGCCCGGCACTGGTAGCTCCCGCCTGTAATTCTTGCTTCTCATTAGCCTTAGATCTGAAAATTGTGGTTCAAAGCCAGCCCTGACAAAAGAGTCGATGAGACTCTTATCTCTAGCTAACCACCAAAAAAGCCAGAAGTGTGTCTGTGGCTCAAGTGGTGGAGTATCAGTCTTGAGTAATAAAGCTCAAGGACAGAGCCCAGGCCCTGAGTTCAAGAAGTCCCTAGACAGGCACCAAATTATATGTATATATATATATATATATATATATATATATATATATATATATGAATAAAGTTTTCTACGTGTTAAAAGATACTTTTCTAATAGTGACTTTCAGAAGTAGAACAATTAGATTGTAGGCCAAATTGCTTGTTGTTACCAAAAGTAAAATGATTTCTGAATTGATTAATCTAGTATATATGCCCACTTCATACCCACTTCACACCCTGTATCCTTAAAGTATGATTAACTCAGAAGTTGATTTTATGGGCTGGGAATGTACCTTAGTGTTGAGGTGCTTGCCTAGCATGCATGAAGCTCTGGGTTTGATTCCACAGTACCTCATAAACAGAAAAAGCCATAAGTGGCATGGTGGCTCAAGTGGTAGAGTGTTAGCCTTGAGCAAAAGAAGCTCAGGAACAGTGCCCAGGCCATGAGTTCAAGCCCTAGGACTGGCAGAAAAGAAAAAGAAAAGATGATTTTATGACAGGTAAATCACTCATTTTAATTTGGTTTTGGTAAGTTATGCTGTATTTCAGCTTAAATATACTTTTTATTGAAGAAAATTAGAGATATGCACAACTGATTCCCTCCTCTTCCATGTTTGCATGTGAAATTCTCTTCTTAAAAAAAAAATAAATCATGACCTGGATGCCAGTGGCTCATGCCTATAATCCTAGCTACTCAGGAGGCTGAGGTCTGAGGATCGCTGTTAGAATCTAGCCCAGGCAGAAAAGTCCCTGTGAGATCCTTATCTCCAATAAATTTTAAAAAACCTGAAGTGTCACTGTGACTCAAGTGGTAGAGTGCTAGCCTTGAATACAAAGAGGCTCAGGGAGAGTGTCCAGGCCTTGAGTTCAAGCCCCAGGACTGGCCAAAAAAATTATTTTTTTTTTTGAATCAGAATTTTTTGGTACGGTTTTTATTGTAAAAATGCTGTACAGTGGGTTTATAGTTGCATGAGCAAGGTGATGGGTACATTTCCTATTGAGCATTGTTACCTCCTCCTTTGAGAAAAAAAAAAAAGAATTATTTGGAAGTGGTGTTGTGGCTCAAAGTGGTAGAGTGCTAGCCTTGAGCAAAAAAAGCTCACAGACAGTGCTAAGGCCCTGAGTTCAAGCCCCATGAGATATATCGATATATTGATATATATATCGCTATATGGATATATAACTATATAGAGAGATATATCGATATATCTAGGTATATCTCTCTATATAGTTATATTTTATACCCGGTTTTGTACTGTTGACAGGAAAGTAAGAGTCTGGAATGAAGAGGTATGTAGATAGCCTGGAAGTAAAGATTAAGAATTGCAGACTGAAACTTCCAAAGAGGAATTATGTGCTTGGAAAGGCCATTCATAGCTATTTAGATTAGGAATTAGGCATATCATTATGTGTTTATGAAACATGGCAGAATCATCTCTAGTGTGAAAAAAAGAGGAAGACTGGGATTCCTTTCTAAGGAAGTTAACAGACAATCAGTGAGAATGGTCTGCAAATCTTACCTCTGTCCATAGAACATGAGATGAACAGGGATCAGGTTGACTTGATTACGGAAGTTTCTTTCCCAAGAAGCTCGTGGTTATGGGAATGGGCCAGTGATTGTCCTGTGAGGGTTCCTAGACCACAAAGCTTGAGAGCCACTTTTCTAGATGGCATTAACGGTATTGTTTTCCACTTGTGCTTTCTCCCCTCCCCACTGTCTCTTGCTCTGTCCCTGTCACCATCTCCTTCCAGGTGAACATGCCTACAAGTGTTCTTGGTGCTCATTCTCTACCATGACCATCAGCCAGTTGAAGGAACATTCCCTCAAAGTCCACGGAAAATCCCTGACCCTCCCCCGGCCACGGATTGTCAGTCTCCTCTCCTCACATGCCCACCACGCCTCACAAAAGACTACCCCAGCTGAAGAAGTAGAAGACTCCAATGGTAAGAACAGGCTTCCACGCCAGAATTAATCATTTAGAATTGAGGTGGACCTGAAGGAATTTCCCACAGAGAAATCTTAAATGGAAAGAGGATGGCTTAAGTGAAGGAAGAACTGTGGGGTAACCCAGATATTAGAGCTGGGGGGGATGTGAGCTCTGAGCAAGTAAGTAGAGTTCTGGGTAGAAACATCTCTGGGTACCATGTTAGCATTGCCTGTGGAGGGAGCATGCTGGGTAGGTATGTCTGTCTGGATTCTTCTATGGTGGGTTTGAGCAAAGCAATATCTGGCAGATTTCTATTTGTGTTTTTTTTTAACTTTATATCCTGTTTTATTGTGAACGTTGTGTTCTGTGAGCCATTTGGGCTGCTGGATATTAAGTTAACTACACAGAACTCAGAGTAGGAAGAGCATGGATGGGTTGAGTGGAAACCGCCTGTCTGGGCAGATCATATGACATTGTGGTACAGACTTAAAATAGTACAGTGATTTCTTATAACTGATGGATGTTGAGAAAGTGTTCGGAAGTAATCAATTTGCGAACTTCAGAAGACACATAGGAATGTCTTTCCATGGACAGCAGGATCAAAGTTTGTTGAGGAGAAAAAGAGAGTAGAGTCTCGGAGCTTCAGGCAATGGCATAGTGAATGAAGGGAAAGTTTATTGTTTACTGTCTTCATCAACCTGGAAAAGAACCACCTCAGGTCATCCCGAATAGTTCCAGAATCAGATGCTTTGAAGAGAAGTGAGAGAAGGCTGTGGATCTTGGCAGTGTAGAATTTTGGAGTTGTTCTTCTTTGTGTCATCCTTCAATCCCTCTTGGCAGTATCTCAGAGCTGTTGGCTTGAATATTCCAGCAAAAGGGCTATCTCCCAAGCTGTCTGCTCTTCCATTCTTGGTAGGAGCTTGGTGGACCGGAAGGAACGTGGCTCTAAGACCTGGATATTTGAATCTTATTTCTCTCAGTGCTAGTTGTCTTTCCCATCGCAGTCGTATTTCCCTATATGTAACATTGGGTAGTGATATCCTCTGATGGTTTTCTTGGGAGATTAATGAGCAAAGGTGTACTTGGGAAATATCTAGTATGACATTGGGCACATCAAAAGGTACTTAATGGATGGTCAACTTATTTCTGTATTCATGTTTGATTGCAAATGTGGTTTAGGGGATTGTTTATAACAAGTTTGAATTTGGTGGGTTTTTTGTTTTAAGTATGTGGGTTTATACAAGTGACTTGATCTTTGTGGCCCAACTTGTCGACTTGGTCTAATTTATGTATTATCTAAATAGCAAATAAGGGTTTTTGTTTTGTTTTGTTTTTCTTCATGAGGTTTGTGTATAGGAGGGAGTGGAAAGGTAACTCCTGAGGCAAAAAAAAAGAAAAGTCTTTCTTGAGTTAAATTTTGCAAACTATTAAACATTGTGTTAAATACTCTAACCCCTTACTGGTATCCTGCCTCAAAGGACTTCTGTTTCATAGAGAAAACTGTGCTTATGATCTCCTTAACTGTTGAGTAATAGTTTGAAATGCAGCAGGAAGTCTGTGGTGTTTGCTTTTCTTCCAGAAAAACTTGAAGAATCTCAGACTTAGGGTTTGGTGAAAATATATGTGAGCCAGTAGAGAAAATGCTCCTTTTCTACCTTGAGATGCTATTCATTGGGAGAAAAAAATAGTACATTGCAACCAGAGGGCAAGATCCCAGCCTAAATTGAAGGGTTCCCTAAGGATTTTGTGCTTGTGTATTTGTGTGCATGCACCAGTACTTGGGCTTGAACCCTGGACCTTATGCTCTTGCTTGGCTTTTTTGCTCAAGGCTGAGACTCTACCAGTTGAGTCCCAGCTCTACTTCTGGCCTTTTGGTGGTTAATTTGATATAGGAGTCTCCTGGACTTCTTGGTCTAGGGTGGCTTTGAACCATGATCCTTAAAACTCCCGAGGATGATAGGGCTGAGCTACCAGCTCCTGGCTAAGACCTAATAAATATTAATTAATTGTTTTCTGCTAACTGGAAGCTATACCTGTAGAGCCTGTTAAATGAAATGGATCCATCCAGTCACCATTCCTAGGAAGTAGTTTTCCTAGAGCATTTTTTCTTGTGTCCTTTTGCCTTTCTCCTTGTCACAGGACAACAGAATTTAATAGACTTCCTACTACCTGGATCATCTTCCTCTGTATAGGCTAAGAAAAGTTGAGTACCATCACTTGGCCCTCCAACAGCTTAACCTTTTTAGGGAATAGTTTTCAACTCTTAGAAGCTGGACTAGGGAGAAGGTGAGTGCTGCAGAAACATGACACTTGATATTGACTAACTCTGTCTAATACAGACAGCCTTTTGACTCAGCCACTGGCAGATCGTATCCTATATGTAAAAGTGTAATTTTATTTTCCTTTTTGGTGGGAAAGAATGTTATGAGAGCGCTGGGTGGCAACCATCTAGTGAGGTCTCCACAGAAGTCATTGAACCCGAGCTGCTTGTAATGCACGTAATAACCCATATCAAAGGAGCAGCCATGGTTAGTTTTAACTCGATGACAAAAAGTTGATTAGAAGGTGGCGTGAACAGAAAGGAGGCATGGAATAGGCTGTTCTCATGAGGGAGTAATTATGTGGAAAGAATAATTAATAGTTTATTTGTTCAGTAAGTATTTCCTTGAAGTCTAACTCTAGGTTTTGCATCATTTTGAACAGCCAGGAATAACCAAGGGGCCCACAGTAGGAAGACTCCCATTCAGGGAGCTGGATGGTGGATTCCTAGAAACAGCTCAGTCTGGAGGATGGAAAAACAGCTGTGGGGCTAGACAGTAGCCTGTAAATCATGCTCTGAATGGTGTTTGAAACACACATGTGAAATCCAATTGCACATTTTAATAGGGAGAAGCTGTTGGGGCTATTGGCTCTCAGTTAAGGTTTCCCACAATGCAGATGCCAGGACACTGTGAACACACGACCCAAAAATGTGTTGCAGGCCTGGGGGGAGTTGAGATCCATAAACCCAGGGAAATCAACAGTGTGTCCTTGGCTTGCTGAATCCCTAGTGAGAGATGTGAATAAAATGAGTCAGCATGCGCACTGCTCTTTGCAATGGTCAAATGCTTGCAGGCTTGAGAAGAAGCCAGCCCTCTCTGGCAGAAGGAAGCAGCCCAGATGGGAGGTTCTTCTTAAGCTGTTCTCCGCCCAATGCAGAGGGAAGCACTGTAAGGAAGGCTAGTGGAGAAAGCAGAAATACGAGGCGCAGGACAGATTCTCACCCCAGCAGCCTGGCCATACACCTGTTCTGGGCTTCAGCAGAGCTTCTGGGCTCAGAGGTGTCAGTCTTGACAGATTTCACCAGCACATGGGGTCCTCTGTATATTCTTCATGATGGGCTGTTGGAAAGAAAAGCAACAGTTGTATGGTGTTGGTTTTGTGTATTGGGTAAATGACATGTAATTGCTATTCAAAACAATGCGTTAAAAGGGCACAATCAGTTGTCAGCAAAGGGAAGTGGAAGCACTCTGTTCATCTGTTTGTGTTTCCAGTGTTCCTTCTCATGCCATATAAGATATAGGACTGGCTTTCATCAGGTTGTGTATGTGTCTTTGTACAGGAAACTAACACTTACACGCACAACAGTAAATTAACACAAGAAACTAGGACAGCATAGTCTAGCTATGAGATTTGTTCAGGTCTGAGAAGGTACACAAAGCATGTGCAACGGATAGGTAATCTAAAATTCAGTCATGCTTTATAAGAAGGCAAACGAATGGAAAGGCAAAAGATGGAAATCTTTTTCCTCCCTTGTATTTCCCCTGATGAGAGAAAAAATTACTTTATCTTCAGTTATGTCACCAGGAATTATCTGCTTTAAGAAAGAGCTATTTTGATACATTAAAGCAAAGGCAAAAAGTAGATACTAAGATTGGGCGCAAACTGAATGTGATGAATGTTTTATAGCAACATAGGTCATGCATACATGCCCTATTTGGTAACAGACAAACTATAAGGAACTCTTATTTACGTACCCTTCTCACTGCAATCTGGGTATCTATAGAGTCTACCCAACAGAGAAGTCGTTGCTGTTATGAAATGATAAGCACAAAATGTTTCGAGATGCTTTATGGTTTTCTGTTAAAACATGTCACTTGCCTTTTCTATCCCAAACTCTAGAATATTTGGGGTTTTTTTGTGAATATACTGTACAGAGGGGTTACAATTACATGGGCAGGATAATGCGTACATTTCTTATCAAGCATTGCAGCCTCCTCCTTCGCCAAATTCTAGAATATTTGATCAACAGTTTTTTTAAATTAAGACACTTCTTTTTCTTTAAATCTTAATTACCTTTAAGTAGTTGTATAAAGGGGTTTCATTCAACATGTTCACGGATGAGTACAGTGCATGTTGATCAGTGTCAACCCTTCCATCCTTTGCCTCTTCCTCTAAATGGGCCCTGAGCATCCGCAAATCAAAGTGTTCTACATTACACTCACAGATGACCATGTACTTGCTCTTTTTCCCATTGCAGAATGGTGTAACAACTGATATTCCCCCATCTGTTTTCTTGCTACTTTCAGGTTCTGGCTTCTTCAGCTTGTTTCTCTAGTTCTGCTGGGAGTTTAGAAGGATTTCCTCCCTGTCTGCTTCTTTCTCTACAAGTTTACAACTTTTACTCCCTTCTAAGATTGGTTTTATTGTGTTTATCCTCATTCAGGTGACTCTATCACTCTTAAGGCTCTATTTATATTTCTAACTAGATTGTTGGTTCTGCCCTTAGTTTTCCAGAAGGGACAGTTAAGTAGGTACTTAGTAAATACTGTGCTCTTTTCAACTCAGTTCACTGCCTCCAGTCCACTCTACAGAACCAAATTATCCAAGATCTATCTTCATTTGACTTTCATTTAAGGGACAAGATTCTAGGCTAGTGGAATAGCTCAAGTGGTACTGAGTCTACATAGCTGTGTGAGGCCCTGAGTTCAAACCCCGGTACCAAAGAAGGGGGAAAAAAAAGACAAAAAGCTGAAG